AAGTCGGGAAGTTTCACACACCTATGGGCCATGTTTATAAGAACTGTACAAGTTAAATTGTTAGAGAACAAATGCATTTTGTTTGAGTCGGTATGTCGCCTTCTTGTCTAGGCAGGGGGAAAAAAAATGGATACCAAGACTGTAATCCTTTTGGAGTAAAAAATCTTTAAATGCAAACATGATTGCCATGGTAGACTGTTTAATCTAGTGATATTGTATTTCATTTCTGTTTTTGGAGAGGTTTGTTGATTTGACCATGCTGGGTAGACTCAGTGCTTATCTCAACTGTTTAGATAAGATTTATTTGACTTTGGCAGGTGACAAAATCTAGGGTGTGGAATAAGGGAGGTAGGAAAAAAAAAAAAAGACTGGCATATTCCCAGATAGTGTTTATTTTAAGCATAGTGTATAGATGAGCAAATAGTTTCAAACAACGCACTGTACTTTGTGTAAAACATCCACTGTCTGTTGAATGTTTTCCGTAAACCAGCACTGCAAAATGTCCTTTATTGGGCATAGCAGACTTCACCTTCTTGCTTAGGTAAACATTTACACTCTTGTAAAAGAGAGCTTAGTGAGTTCCCCTGGAAATAGGACCCTAACTCTGTGATCACATTTTGCCACTGTTTTCTAACCCATGCTCTAAAAGAGGAACAGGACAAAATTTTATTTTGAATGTAGGCTTACAGACTGTTCCATAAGTCCAGAATCCATCAGGAATCTAAAATGTCTTATGCCAAAAAACTTTCATGCTCATAGTAATCATTTTTTCAGTTTAATTCTACACAAACATGTCTCACTTTGAAACGAAATTCAAAACAGAAAAGTTTAGTTATAAACACCATGATTATAATAATAGTTTTAAAGAAAAAATTCTTTTTAAGATAATTCACCTAAACATAATTCAGAGTCAGCTTCTTTAGTAGATTTAAGCAGTTAGTAGTATATTTAAGCATTTATATCTGGGCAGACATGTAGAGTAGGGGACAGAACTAAGAGGTTTGGTTGCTGATAGCCAAAAATGCATCAAAAACATAGAAAAGTCAGTTATAAATTTATATGACAGAGAAGATTAACACTTACATGCCCAAATTAAATGTGTTGTGGCAATGCCTTCCTGTATATTATAGAGGGGACCTTAGCTAATCCTTCAAGACTACTTTTCTAAAACACTTAAAAATAGGGAAAAAAATAACACCCAATGTAATATTTACCATGAACCTTTTGGAATAATTTCACATTTTCTTAGATCAACATCTAGTTAATACAAACAGAATATGATGCATCAGTTTTGTGTGTTAAGTCATACTTTGTTCAACTAAAGAAGGTTTTTCTTCTCTTTCAATATATATAAGAATTAATGTTTCATTATCTAGAGGAATGAGAAATCAGTTAAAGATGGGAGGAATTTTAAATATTAGGATTTCTCTGATGTGCTTTTAATGAATAAAGACTTGTTCTAGGTACAATAGCAAGTTTTCAAATGTAAGATGAAGCTGGCCCTGTTCTAATTAGGAAGTGAACTTTATGTTAAACCACTTGGCACAATGAACGGCAAGGTGTGTGCACGTGTGCAAAAGTGTCAACAGGTGTGTTACACTCATCTAAGGGTCCATGTTACTTTTTCAGTGAGTCACTGGGCATCATGGAGGGTAATATACTCCCACACCAGAAGAAATTCTACAATGAAAATACAATTTTTTCCTGTCTTTTTTGGTAAGACATACATGTTACATTTTCAATTTAGAAATTTATCCTGGCACTCAGCCACCAGCTCCTTATTTGTGTAGTAATAAACTGAATAATAATTTAAACAGACTTGTTGCTTCTATCTCCCAAAGTAATCAGAATGTAACATTTGACAATTGGTTTACCAGTTGCCAATTGATGTTACATTTGCTAAAAGAGCATAACTTGACCAGTGTGTGAACGATTCACAAGAGCAAAGAAGAAATTCTGAATGGAATGTTGCAAGTTCAAAATAGAGAATTGTATAGTGCAATCATTGGATTTCAGACACACATAACACTGACGTCATATATGGCAAAGAAAAACAAAGTAGTACTGCTGTCAATATTGTACCACAATGGCAAGATTGACAGAGCAACCTTGACAGAATTGAAGCCAGAGATGGTACCTTTTTACAACAAAACCAAAAAGGAACAGATGTTGTTGATGAATTATGCAGCAACTAAGATGTCACTCAAAATACAAGTGTTGGCCAATGATTGTGTTTTACTCTATCCTAACATGTGTGACATAAATACTTTTATAGTTTACAAAGAAAATAACAAGTCCAAAATACCATGGAGAGATTTTCTTAGACAGTTGGGACTGGAATTTATTCAAGATCACTTACAACAGAGGAAGAACAAAATGCTTCTTCCCAAGGAACTATGCAAAAAAAATTCTGCAACACACCAGTGATCTAATAGAGGCAGGTGCAACATCACAAAGGCCTGCTGTGACCATGAAAAACCAAAAAGATGTCAACTGTACCCCACAAAAAAAAAGACAGGAAAACAAGATATACATGCTATCAGTGTAAGTGAGGCTTGTGTATGAAATAGGCAGTTTTCATGTGTGAAGACTTCCATGAGTATGACAACTGAAGCAAAGATTATTTCTATGGTAAACTTTTGTTTGTATTTTCATTGTAGTTCACGTAACAATTTATTTTTGATATTATCTCTTAGGTTTTATAAACAGTTGATGTTGAAAATGTGGATGTTTATTCTACATACTCAATACATGTTAAAAAATTAATACTTTATTTTTTGATATTTTATGTTTCCATTAAGTACGCATTGTAAATATAATAAGATCTTCCTGACAAAAGAAAAGATCAGCAAGACGTCAAGTATGTCCTACCAAAAAAGGCAGGAAAGCAAAATACATGTGCTGTCTAAGTGATACATCTGTATGAAACATGCTGCTTTCATGTGTGAAAACCACCTCTGTATGATAACTGAGCAAAGATTACTTTTGTTGTAGAGTTTTGTCTTTTCATTGTAGTTCATATAGGAATTCATTTCTGTTATTTTTTAAACTTTGTAAACAAAAAACTAGTTGATGTTGAAAATTTTGATGATTTTCATAAACATTCAAGAATATTAAATATTCAATACATCATTTTATTGATATTTTCCTGAAGTACACATTGTTTAATATAATAAAAGTTATAAAATTGAAATTAGTAACTCATCAATAGAAATACTTCTAAAAAATAAGCATTGGGTGTTATATACCCAACATGATGCTCCTTTCTAACAAAAATTAACTTGGCAACCCAGTGATTAATTGAACTTCCACAGGTGACTGATGAATGAAAAGCCAACTGCTGGACAGATACTGTCCACTGTCCTATCCTCACACTTCATTCTCCAGAGTTCAGTAAATACCCCCTGCTTTGGTGTAACACCTTGACAAAGGGGCTATCAACTTTGCTTCTCTCAAAGCTACTTTCTTCTTTGTTAGCTTAAAAATTCAGTGACTTTCAGCATTTCTCCAATTGCAATGGTTCACAAATACATACTTAATTGGGGAAGCTGTATCCATCTTCTTTTCATGGCTTATAAAGAGTTTTTTAAATTAAAGAAAACTACCTTTATTGGAAGAGCTTCCTAACATCCCTTAGTCATTGGCAATGTATGTAAAAGTTAAAAATATAATCTGGGCATCACTGCTTGGAAAAGCTTCAGATAGAAACTACTCAATGTAGGAGAGGGTTAACCTACCTGGGGCAACCAGTATTTTCAGTACAGATTTGCTCCATCTTGCAATACTAAGTCTTTTTTCATTCCCTTTCCCCAACTAGAGTAAATTATATTTCAAGCTCATGTTGATCTATCATAAAAATCCTTTTGTGTTTTTGTTTCTTATTTTCAAGTTGGACAGAGTCAATTCAAATATATCTATGTGGAGGGAAATAGTTACTAGTGACTAAAACACTTTGCCAAACTACTTAAAATTTAATCTCAGCTGAATAATGATCCTCCTTGTTGAAACAGCAGCAATTTCCAACTAACAAATATCCTAAAGAACATCACATTTCCTTTCATTTCCTTCTCTTCTAGCTGAAGAGAGGAAGTATATTGTCCTCTCCTGCCTGGTTACCACCAAGGAATACCCACTCTCTCTTTCATAAATCCTTTTTGGCATAGAATAAAAGAGTTAAGGGTTGCAACTTCCCCAGACTTCATCATATTTCAGCATTTCAAGCCTTTCACTAAGTATTCTGAAATTACTACTCCCAGATGCTGGGAAAGTGACATCGTGTCCCCATGACACCTGCCCTTGGGTTATGTGTAGCAGATGAGTGGATACAACACTCCAAGTTCATCACCAAAACACAACTGACCCTCCACTCCTGCTTCAAACTGCCCTGCAGCAATGAGGCCAGGAGCCCCGATGCCTGCTTACCATGTTGTACATTGAGATTTGCAAAGAAGGCGCTTGCTTAACAATAAACATGAACACATGTATACTATCATAGGAATTAGGTTCAGGAGACTGCTAATTAGTAAATTGGAACTAGAAATAAATGAATAATTTGTCTTAAAAGTACAAACTGTGCATTTTTAGAACTAAAATGTTCAGTTCATTTTGGAAATAAAATGTTTCTAATCATTTTGAATACAGTATTTCAAAACACAGCAATGCTGTGAAGATTTAAGTGAATATTTGGGTTTCATTTTAAGTAAACTCAATATTCTTCCATTATCATCTACCAAACATCTGAGTATTTCGAAAGCCTTGACTCAGACAAATAAAGTAATGTTAGCAGACCTGGGTACATCAAGTTGGGTAAGGCATAATCTTTAAGAAACATGCCTTGTCCCTCTATTTATTTAAAAAACCAAGAAGAAAGGATGGCATCTGTAACTGAATTCAGATACAACAGTTAAAGAACATGAGAGCTAACAAATCTAAAACAAGCTCTTCATACTAGACTTTAAAATGATTTTTTTAAGTCTAAGAATTAAAAGGAATGTTTGTTTTCAAAGGAAATATCAACTTGGTTCCCATAGAGAACTCATCTTGTATTCTCTTCCAAATGGCTGTTATGACAAAGTCTCAATGCTATTAACAGCCCACCAAACTGGTAATGAAAATATCTGTATTTGATTACTAGTAGTATTTTATCTATAAACATAAATATTTTGAGCTTATCTTTACATCAATGTTAGCAAATCAACACACTTGACTCTCCCATTCAGAAGGGGTCATTCACATGTCTAAAAGCAAGTTATATTTCTGTCTACCTATAAGAGTACCCTTTCTTGGCCAATTTCCCCCACCAGCTACTAGACCAGATTAATGCATCTCCTCTCACAAAAAGTCTAAGCTTGGATTCTCCAAATTGCTTTCTTTCCACTCTCCAGCAAACAAGGTTTGGCCTCTACCACTTCAACAAACCACTCTTGTTAAGGTCCCTGATAATACTGTAGGTGCAATTACATCATTTCATTAACTCAGGCCAGTAATTCTAGAATCTTCTTTTTGTACACTCTACATCCAATCCACTGGAAAATCCTGCTGCCTCTATCTTTCCAAACATATGAAGAATCTAATCATCTCACACACCCCCACTGCTACCACCCTCATCTACCCACTAGCATCTTGCATCTAAATTGCTATAATAGTCTCCTCCGTGGTCCTCCTGCCTACCTTATTCAACCCTATCTTCCATGCAGCAGCAGAGCAAAGGTAAAGGCATAAATCAGATTCTTCTGCCTAAGTCCTCTAAAAGTATTTCTTTGTTGGGGTAAAAGCAAAGTTCTTAAAATGCAGCAAGGCCCTATATGATCCACCCTCCTACCTGCCTTATTTACCCAAAATACATCTCTAACTCCCTCCCCCCAAGTACTATGTTCAGGCACATTCAGAAACATGCTGCTCATTTAATGTCCCTGGACGTTGCCTCAGGACCTTTCCACTTAACTGGTCCTTTCTCAAGTACACTCTTCCCTTAGACGTTTGTGACTTTCCTATCTTCATACCCTTCATATGTCGCCTCCTCCTGGTCTTTCCCTACCTCCTGTCTCACTTCTCACTCTGTGTTCCTTGTTTCTATTCTCTTTCATTGTTTTTTTCCCCCTGTAGTACTTACCACCATTTGAAATACCACATATTTTCCTTTATTTTTAAAAATTATCCCCCACTGGAAAATAAGTTCTGACAGACACAGATTGTCTTTTTTGCTTTTATTCCTGTATCCCAGGGCCAGGAATGGAGCTTGGCACAAAGTAAGCACACAGTAAATACTGGAGTGGCCAAATGAGGAAAGGTTGGAAGGAATGAAGGAAGGAAAGGAGGCAGCAGGAATGAATGAAGCATGGCCGCCCTTCCTGGTATTAATTCACTATTGACATCTTCCTACATGGGGAGAAGAGGGACTGGTGAGCCAATACCAAAATTAGTCCCTATCATCCACCCTAACATTAAGAGAAAATATTTCATTAAGGTAATCATAGTCTTGAACAAATGCTTCTCCTCATTGCTGAAATCAGTACAGAAGTTTGCCACACAGAGATACCCGCGCCTTTCACATGTGGCAATGCAAACCTGAGTATCACTGGAGTCACAGAACTTAGAAGATACAGCAGCTAGTGATAATAGGAGAAATTTTATAGTAAATCCTCCAAGACATTCATCAAATAACCCCTCTGCAGCCTGCACAGCAGCGGTCTTTTTCTCTCTCTGGGTTTCTCTCCCTCCTCCCCACTTCCCCCAAGCAACACACTCTTTTTGTAATTAAGAACCATGGAGGGGAAAAAAGTCATGCACCATTTTTTAGCCTAAGTCTCTGATACAATCAATGGCATTTAGTGTTCTTAGAAATACAGCAGGAATTCAGAGCACAGCCTTGCATCCAGACTGCCTGTGTATAAATCACAGCCTTACCACTTGCTGATTGAGATTCTTTTGCCACTCTGTGACTGGCTTTACACCCATAAGCTGGGGATAATAACATCACCTACCTCACGAGAGTGGTTGCAGGCATATACAGTAATGACCAGGAGTGTTAGCTTTTATTATCAGCAATTGCAAATCTTTAAATTTGGAACCATAAAACATAGCACTACCAGTATAATCTATTTTAACATCCCATCAATTCATAAATTTCTTTTACAACAATTCATAAGGATTCATAAGGATTTCATGGTGTCAGTAATATTGAGAGCAAAGTCTCCTTCTAAACGCCAACATTTCCTCAAATTAGCTTGTTATTATTCTCCAATGGCTCAAACAAAAGAAGAAAACTTTTCCTTTGTGATCCACATCAGAGGTAAACAAAGTTCATGCAGGAAGCAGGGAACCCATGTATTTCTTTTTTCATTTTAAGCTTTAAACTGTACAATTTTTTTTAATCATGTTAAGAATCTTAGTAAAAACTTGTTTAATTTTAAAATGTATCCATTGGTATTTGGCTGCAAAGTGGTACTGGGACACTAGAGGTCTTGTATTCATGTTTGACCAGCATAGAAGACACAAAGTGACCATGGGCATAACATAACTGCAATGCTGCCAAAAGATAACATACCCTTGGTGTTTTAGGATTTGATCAACTGTCTCAGCACACTAAACTTAGGGAAATCACTGCAGTAATGTTTCTAGAATGCCCTTGGTAGGAATAGGACATGTGTGACTCAATAAGGGAAAAGCAGAAAATGTCAATCATTTCTTCCTCTTCCACTTTCAGATCCTCCCTTCATTTGATGGATGAAGAAGGCAAGAAAATATCTTGCAAGTGTCCACTCTGAGATGCTAGACAAACACAACTCCCGTTATCAAGGGGCTTTCTGCTTCTCCCAAAATACCAGTCCAAATGCCACACCAAGGAGCATGTAAAAAGAATATTTTTGCAGAACCTATGCTTAACACAGATTGATTCAAGGATCAAAGCTGATGCCATTGATTTTGAGCTCACACAAAGTGCTCTCCACTCAGATTTAAGCTCTCCCTACACACAGACCCCGACGTGGTCCACGGTAATCCAGTCAACAACCACCCAGGGATTGTTATTACAGGGGGCAATGCCCTGGGCTGAAGGGGGCTCAGTCTCCAGGTTCACAGAGCTCCTTCCAGGGGAGGATCTCTAGGGTAGGAAAGGTAAACACACAAATGAATAAATGATATATAATTCACATAGCAAGTACAAGGAAGGTAAGGAATGACCATTCTCACAGCTTCAGTACAGCCCCCAAGTAGTATGTTCCTTCTTACCATAGCAATATAATAAGCCCAAATGTGGAACAATGTCATAAAAATATAAGTTCAGTTTAACCTTGGGTTTTATTTTTTGCTGAGCCTGCAATGAAAGACATAATAATTCAGTTTATCCTGATATAATAATCTCTGTGTGACTTAAAATGATGTATGAGATCTTTCTTTTTATATAACAAAACTCTGGGTAATCAACCCTTATTTTAAATTAAAGTGTGTTTGATATTAAATTTCACAAACTAGGTTTTAATGAAAATATACTACCTCACATGTATTTTCTCCACTACAAGGCTACAATTGATGAAAAGGTTAAACAAGCTCACTGCAGCCCACATTCTTCTCAAATTTCTAATTCTAAGTGACTTTACATTTCAATGAAAACCATTCAGTCACCCTTCCAACAGCATCTACTACATTTTAATGTCTCAATAAATATAATAAACAGGTCTTAAAATTCTATATCCCATGTGAGGAAAACATTTAACATAAAGGTTAACAAAAAGGGTGGGCAGGAGACAAGTACAGTGAAGCAATTTCTAAGCAACCCCTGTAAACTTCAGAGCTATAAAGAAACCAGACACTAGAAAACCTAGTGGAGGGAAAAAAAGCAACACTCCCCACACTGAATGCAATTTTTGAGAATATTACAAAAATAAACAAATGATTATGGATAAACTTTCTTATGGTAATTAATAGTCCAGTGAAAAGGCTTGTGTTTGCAAGAATGAAACCAGAAACTATGAAAAAAGACCTGGAGTTTGTAATCTACAAATTGTTTGGTAGAAAATTTTCATATGAAAAACATTATTCAGTGGCAGCCCAGCAGGAGAAAGAACTGCTAGATGTGCAGGTTATCCAAACACGTGCAAAAAGTCACCATAAAACAATCTTTCAAAGTGCCTTGAATTCAGAAAGGCTAGTCCCAGATTTTTAAAGAGGCATTCTTACACATTATACTCATGGCTAGAAAATAGTTTAACTCCCAGAAAACATAAGATGTCAAAGGAAGAAACAGAAGCCTCTGGATCTCTACTTAGCCTCTCTACTCCTGTCCCCCACACCAGGATTCATTTCCTGACAAAGCCAAACCCTGTCACAGTGTTCACTCTTGTGCCACCCAGAGCCCAGAGTGCTACATGCAGAGTGCGGCTGACTCATACAGCACAATGTTTAAGAAACCACACAATCATGGGAGAGACCTCAGCCTTTCAAGTTTCCAAAACAAACTGCCCTCCTTACAGATAAACCATAGTTCAAAGACGTAGCCACGTTCAACTTCTAAGAGCTGCTAATATAAATAATTCTCATATTTATCTTCATTCAGAAAGCAGACATGGGGGGCAGGCCAGTACTAAACTCAGCATTTCAATAACACTGGCTGAAAACCCAAACTATAGAACTCAGATATCCTCCCCTTGAACCGAAACTCCATTTCTGCCCTCTCATCTCCCCCCTAATTCCCTCAGAAGGAACACCTCTTGCATTCTCCTCCCTCCTCTGTCTCCTCACAAATGCTTGTAGTCAAACCTATTCAAGGTGATGGAGGAAGAATAAGGCTCTCTCCTGCTGGCTGTTCATGCTCTAAATTTCAAATAACTCTAAAGCCTATAGACTTTTAGCTCATTTCCTAAGGAATTCAGGAAGAAGAGGACAACTAAGGTTGAGTGCTTAAAATAGGGAGTCATTTCACAGCTCTTTGCTGGAGAGGAAACTGAAGAAAAGAGATACGAAGTAATCAGGTTTATTCAGCAAATCAGCCACCAGCAGATCTGGGATTCAAATGGATCTCAGTCAGCTCAGGCTACCATCACTAAAAACTGGGAAGCTTAAACAAGGGGAGTTTATTTTCTCATAGTTCTGAAGGCTTAGAAGTCCAACACCAAGGTGCTGGCAGATGGAATTCCTAGTGAAGGCACTCTTCTAGTTGTAGATGGCTGCGTTATGGCTGAGTCATCACTCAGTGATGGCGAACCTTTTAGAGCTTTCAATGCTACAGCTTGCTGTGGCACATATGCCATAGGTGTCACCACTGCATCACATGGTGGGGGGGGGTGTGGTAGAGAGAGGAAAGGGGGGAGGGAAAGGGTCTAGTCTCTCTAATTCTTAGAAGGGCACTAATCCTATCACAGGGGCCCCACCACCCATAAATTCATGTAAACCTAATTACTCCAAAGGCTCCATCTCCAAAGACCATTGAACTGGGAGTTAGGTTTTAACATATGAATTTAACACAATCAATTAGTCTCATAACAAAATCCAAGCGCTGTGCCCTGAACTTACTCTCTGAACTATTGTTATTCTCCAGTAGAAAGGAGACGGAAAACCCAGGGATGCGTGCCAAGTGCCTAACGTGGTAATGCACGCCTGTAATTCCAAGAACTCTGGAAGGCTGGTGAGGTAGGAAGATTGCAAGGTCAAGCCCAGTTGGGTGATTTAGTGAGCCATTGTCTCAAAATTTAAAAACAAAAACAAAAAAAAGGCTGGGGAAATGGCTCAGGGTAAAAAACAAGAACATGATGAAAGAGTGAGTAAAAACTGAAAGCAAGCATCCCTAAAGTCTATATAAAGGTAGCCCTTTCATTTCCTATGTGCTCTCTGAGCAACTGCTGACCTAGAAAAGAGACAGTACATTTTATACCCATTTTATACATGCTCACAGCTTGCTTTTGTTCATTGGTGAGCATAGTCTAGATTGCTTTTTCTGTCAATATTTCAGCTGCCTTTGCTTGGTTCAATCAAGAACAGGCAACTTCATGTATAATTTCCTTAAAAGTTTTTCCGTATTTAATTCACATATGTGAAAACAATTCACAATTTCTTTTCTCTAAAATAGTCAATAAGTAAACTGGAGAGTTTGTCTAGGATAAGAAAGTAATAAATGGAATTTGCTAAATTTATATTTTCTAATGTTTTAATAACTCTAACACACAAAACAAATGGTGACCAAAAGTATTGTGTCATCTTGCCAGTTTTGTTTTTGCATACTCTCATTTTGTTAGGTAACACATGCCCTTGTCTATAATAAGCTAACACAATCCACAGAGCAGACAGAGCTGAACTAGGAGTCTAAAGAACTGATCACCCATTCTGGCCCTATCGAGCTAATATTCTAGGCAGGCTTAATCTATAAGCCTCAATTCCTTCCACTGTAAAATGGTAATTAACTCTCCTCTTCTGCACTGTTTTACACAATGATCAGTAGTAGTGCTAGAAGGAAGAGGGAAGAAGGAAAGAAGTAAAACTCAAACCAACAGTTAATTTCATCTTCCTGCATACCACTGAAATGATCTGATTATGTATGATCTTAGAATATATATCCTGCTTAACAGTGAGTTTCATTTTAATACCTATTACCTTAAGTAATTCCTTCCTAGATAATTATCAAGATAATGATTCTAGTTCTAAGTTCTTTTGGAAGAGATTAAGACAAATCAAGAGAACAGCAACATGACACATGCTCCAGTGTGGTATTCCAATTAATAAACTGAGATTTCACTGGAATTTGATTTAAATTCATGGGCATATCTACTGTCCTTGTAAAGAATGCTTAAATATATGCATGTGTATTTAGAAAAAATTTTTTGTATTAGTACATGTTCAGAGTACATAATGTTTACATTCCTTGTGGGGAAAATGTGTTTGAAAAGAAGTCATTATGCTTAGAGAACAAAGAACTTAAAATCTATAATTTTTATTGGGTGTATAAATTATATTTTGTTATATCCATTTAACTTGAAGAAACATGATTTTGATAAATCATGCTTTAATAGGGCAGAAATTTCAATTAGGACATACTGTACCATGCATTGACCTCAGGTCCGCAATTCAGTTCACTACAGACAGGGCAGGGCATTTTTTATTTCTTTAAAATATAGAAAAGAATCAGGGCCATCCCTTCAGGATATAGAAGCTTATTGCTATGGGTGGGTCATAAAATACATAGTAGGCATCCCTTGCTACAGTACCTATAGCCTACTCTGAAATACATTTGAAGAGGGAATGTAACAGTATGCACAAACCAGTTAAAGCTTCAGCTGAAGGGTAGTCAGTTGTCCTACTGATAAGGTCCACACCCCAGGGATGGCTGCCCAGCACTGTGTCTGAAAGACGATACAGCAGAGGCAGCTAAGGCAAACTGCTCAGCTCTTCCTATCTAAATCAACAACTGAGGTCTTTTGATTAGCATACTAATGTATAAAATCAGCTGTCATTGGTGAAACTAGTAATTCAAAGTATGTGGGTTAATTCAGATATCTTAGAAATACTCCAGCCATACCCTCTCTGCATAGATAGTCACAGACATCCATAGTAGATAAGAGTATGAGAATCTAGTAGAGGTTACAGCCTAGATCTTTAGGAAGCTGTCTGAGGCTTAGAACCTATATAGTACTGGATCAACATTTGGGTTGAGTTGGATTTCTACATGCCTTGTCCAAACTATAAGAAAAAAGATTCCTACCTCTTTGATGTGTGTCCACCCTTCTGGAGCAAACCTTTCAGATAAAATTGTGGTGTGAGTACCCATAAAGACAAAGGGCAGGGCCAGGGATTTAGCTCAGTGGTTTCGCTGCCTGCTGCACAAGCACAAGGACCCAAGTTCGATCCCTGGTACCAAAAAATAAAAAGACAAGGGGCAAAGAACCTCAACTTTACAGAGCAAGTTTTTCAAACAGTTTCCTTCTTCATGATTAATAAATACCTGTTTGGTAAATACTGATGTCATGAGGGAGGATTAGATATGAAACTTGTTTCAGTTTGATCTGGTAGTACAGTGACCGTAATCCTGATGTACCTGCAAAATTTCCAGGTAACACCTGGTATCCAGGTGATACTGTTAATAGCACACCTGTCCAGTTACTAAAAAGTATCCCATTTGGGATGATAAATTATATGGATATTCGAGGTAGGGGATAAAGCTGAGCCTTACAGAATTTGAAATTCTTTTGCAGCTCCTATTATTTAAAAATATGGACCTAAGGGCCAGGGATTTAGCTCAGTGATTCTGCCACCTGCCTCGCAAGCACAAGGACCCGAGTTTGATACCCAGTACCAAAAAAAAAAAAAAACCCAAAAAATAAAAAAAATTAAAATTAAAATATGGACCTAAGATTTGTGAATACCACATTGATCCCTGAAGTGTGACTGAATTCTGTATAAAAATATCAATCTATTTCCCAAAACTAAACTACCATTACAAAGCCATAGGGCACATGCATGAAATCAATTTCTGCAAGTAAGAGGCTACATCATTGAATCAATCCTTCCACCAATAACAACTAAAAATGTTAGGTAGGATATATTTGTTAATCATCAAAAAGGCACCAAAGAGGTGTCTAAATAGTAAGGAATTATCATGCCCCATAAAGGGGAAGAAAAGAACTGAAAGAAGTGATCTAGCTCAGGACCCCTTTTGTCCTCAGGCCTTGTGTCTGTCCCCACAAATCTGAACTTTCTGTTGACAGTGTCACAGGGCCAGGAGCCAAATACAAAAACCCAGAGCCCACCCAAAGTAGGGCTTTAGACCCTCCCCACAATAAAGTGGTGCTCAAAGTGCTACAGACTCCAGACTGCTGGAAACTAATGCATGAAGCCGAAGAGCAGTTTGTACCTTCTGAAGAATCCTTGAAGCTTGACTTAAGGTCATCTTCAACCTACAGTGCCCCTGGGTGCTGGCACCAAAAAAGGCAAATTCCTTCTGGCAGGCACTTTAAGTCAGATTCTTCACTTGAGAGGTGCAGACGATTTGAACCTAGAACCCAAGCCTTACACACTCATCACTCTAAAAGGTATTTTAAATTCAACTATAGGCTTTTCTGGAGGTTTGCAAGGAAGAAGAAAATAATAGATGCAGCAATTATAAGCGAGGCAGCCCCCAGACAATTAACTTTGTGTGTGTAAAAGTTACAGTGAGGGCGAGAACTGTGAAATGCAACAGCAAATCTACCTGAACTGACCTGTGCAGGGCCGAACAATGATTGGGGGGGGGGGGGTGTGGTATTCCATTTTTGGAGGTTTGGAATCACTCAGTAGAACAACATTACAGGTACATTCTTGGTTTTAGAGCTATCAGAAGTGGTCACAGCAAAAGCAGGGCCTTGGGGAAGTGGCACAGAACAGGTCCACTTAACGAAGGCCCAAGCGCAAGTTCAACCTACTCTATTAACGAGAGGCACAATATTGAGAAAGACACTGGACCACTGGCAGCTCTTAGTTTGCTCTTCTATAAAATGAGACTGGAGGTCTGGGTAAATTCTGTGGCTGCTCCCACATCCCAAATCAATGGTGTTTATGCTTCTGTGGGTTTCTCCGTGGAGGCATATCCTGAGAGAAGTAGAGTTTACTCTAGAGGCCACAAGTGATTCCCACATGGAAACCATGGCTCCAGACAACACACTGAGGCAGAACAGAACTTTGTCCACAGAAATCACAACTGCTTCCTTCTTCAGACTTTGAAGGCAGCTGCTTTGTAGAAAATGGTGCACAGAGTTTCAAAGGGACTCAGGCAATCAGTTCACATCCTAATAGGATAAAGTTTATGCATAATTCTGTGTGACCCTTTAACGACTGACATTCATGCTATGTTCTTGTTCGTGTTGCATGTTAAGCAAGCAAATTTTCAATGAACTCTTGCTGGCTGTACCACAGACACAGCTGTCAGGCGGACTCCTTTGTTCATAAGGTTCTCATTATTAGCTCAACCCGAGCTGAATACTTGACTGAAGGAAAGGACCATATCATTATTTTCAGATTTCATTCTATGACTTAACTGGGCTACATCTGCCAGTGTTAGAAACACCAAGTACTTTCTTGGCGCCAGCCTTGGCGTTCTCTTCTATGATTATTACCCGAAATGTTTCAGCTTGAGGAAGTCTCCTCGCCATCAAAACAATTTAATAAAAACTTACATTGCGATTAAGAGTTACTCATCAATTGACAGGGCACACACCACTCTTGTGCTATTTATGAATTATTCCACACAATACTTTTGGCCTAACAAATAGAATCCACATTCATAAAGGGGGAAGCTAGAAAGCCAGTTAAATGTCTTCATGATTTATAAGGTCTGTATTATACTTGAAACCATATTTCTTTAATAGGTAGACTGGCATTCCACAGGATAATTCAATCTGCTTTAAATCTATTCTAAGGCCCTAGGCATCTTAAGGGACATTCAGAATATAAATTTAATTCCACTATGGACCTTTGAGCAATATTTCTCAGCATAGATGTGATAGGGGAAATGGCACCAGAATTCCTGTCAACCGTAGGGTAGAATTCAAGTATTAAAATATTGACACTAAATCCATTTAGAAAATGTTAGAAACCACCCTAATTCCAAACACAGAAAATATGTCATAAGCCTATTTAAAAATATAACTTAAAACAACAATCTAAGAGAAATAATGAAAGATCATGATGTTACTGCTTCAATGTATCTGGACACCATTAATAATAAAAATTGGCAAAAGATAATCTGAAATCATCTTTGGTGGTCATTAGAAAAAAGATATTTCAATCCTTCTATAGTAGAAAAGCCCAGAGGTTGGCAATGTGTAGTTGTCCCACGTAACTGGAAGAAGAGGGACCAGTTTTCCACCCTAAAGAGTTAAATATAATAAATTTGCTTTAGCTTTTCAGTATCTTCTAACAGGAGGACTAAACGAATTCCTTAAAGACATCTGAGACAATGGTCATTTGGCCTCTTGAAAACTTGTTTCAGCTAATCATGAAATATGGCAATCTAGTTTACTATTTAAAATCTCTAATCATAAGACTATCCTTAAACTGACAAGTGAAACAGGCTTCCCTGTAACTCTCACACTGGGTGGAAGTTTAAGTTTAAGTTAACTATCTCTTCTTTATATTAGTTCATCAAACTCTTGAGACTCGAGGCTCAACCAACTGGACTCTCCCACAGAGAATCTTCTGCATTATTTTCAGCGGCTGAGAACCCCCACTGTCTGGCTCATGCTAGTATTTACCAATAACTCTTTGAGTGTAATATCCACAAGTAAACACCTTGGATAAGGTCTAACAAAGTTACAGAGCACAGTAGGACTACTGTATCATATGATATAAAAATTAAATATTTATTCATAACAGATTAAATATATCTGCAATGGACTCAACATTTGTGTTTCCCCCATAGTTTACATGTTGCAATCCTGACCCTCAATGTGATATTAGTAGGAGGTGGGTCTTTGGGGGCTGATTAGATCTTGAGAGGGGAGCCCTCATGAATGGGATCAGCGCTCTTATGAAGAAGACCCATGAAAGCTTTCTTGCCCTCTTTCTGCCATGTGAGACTACAAGGAGAAAGTGGTAGTCTGCAGCTGAAAAGAGGGTCCTCACCAGAACCCATCCATACTTACACCCTGATCTTAGACTTCCAGCCTCTTTTAGAAAGAATGTGTATGGTTTCAAAGCTATCCAGTATTTGGTGCTCTGTTACAGCAGAATATGAGGATAATAATGTCATGTGAAAAAGAGGCTCTCAGCAAGGTATATCAAGAAAGAAAAGTCTAATTAATAGTAGCCTTTCGAGAAACAGTTGCAGGAGAAAGTTTGGTAGCACTTATGGGAAGTACACTAATCTCAGTATACACAAATAAGTTTGACATACTTTTACCACCAAACATAATATCCTTCTGCCCAAATTTAGCATTCAAAAGCTGAGCTTTTATTTTTCCACTTACCATGTTGTATGTCTTTCATATCTAAATGAAGACTAGACATTAATATTCCAACTGCTTGTGATCTTTTGTTGCTTAATAACTTGACAACCTGCTCCAGAAACAAAGAAAAAAGGGAAAATGTTAACTTTAACTCCAATATACATAAGAAGACATTTAATTCTAAATGAAAAAAATAAGAGAAAATACCTATGTCATTACTTAAAGTATTCAAAACACTCTTTAATGTTTCAAAAGAGCTTGGCTATCTATAATAAATCTTAAAAATCTACCATCTTTCTCCCGGTATTCACCATCGACCTCAAAGTCATGTGCTTTATCAGTCTTGTAAGAGTATGATCTGTCAACAAGTAAAATTTCTAATAGTCTAGGAAGCAAGTCTGGTCTCTGTGAAATAACAATTACACATTTGATCATTTGCAGCCCATGATTTAGAAAGTGTTAGGTTTTTAACACTGACCTTTGAAAACTTGGTCAATAAGTGAAGGGAAAAATAAAAGTATGCACTCAGAGAATCTGTTAGGTCAGATCAGGTGTACCATAAGACAGAAATGTGCTTTTATTTGGGTCAGTTAGAAGGCTATTTTACTGGCAGTTCCTCTTATTCTGCATTTGACCCACATTTTGTGGAGAACTTTCCAACTAATTAATAAGGGAGGAAAGCATCAGATTGAAAGGGCTGCATCAGCTCAATCTCAGGTCTGGCTGTCCAGAGACCGGAACCGTCAGTGCACACACCCCAGGAGGTCTGGGGACAGAGGTGGGCGCGCTGCTATGGAACAGTCACATTTAAACCGTGTTCTCCAGACATTAACACACCACCAATAAATCTTGCTTATGAAACTCATCCCAGGTCCTGATCCTTGAGGGACAGCGATTTCTATTTACTCTGTTTTGTTTTAAATCTATTTAGAAAAACATTAGAGGAAAAGGAAAGAAAAGTGGTTATGGTTAAATTACTAGAAGTGACAGCTGCCGTAACAACTATCACCTTTGTTGACCTTGTCTTGCTTTTTTGCTGTAAGCTGGGTCAACCAGGAAACTAATAAAATAACCATACCCAGCTGTCACACAAAATCACAGAGTAAAATAATATTCTTAATAGCAATAATAGCATTCTGAGTCCCCAGCAGGTACGGGGATGGGGAATAAAACAAAACACTTTTAGAAAGACCAACCATAAAACCTCCCCAGCTGTCTCTGAAAGTTTCCAGGGGTAAGGGACAATACCTCCAAGAGGTGCTGCTGTGTCAAGGGGGAAAAATTACATATTAGATTTGATTCTAAATTTGGTCTTTAAACATTTTATTAAATTTCACCTAGAAAATTTAGCTTACTATTTAACTATGCACCAACTAATTCAGCAAAGCATTTCTAACACTAGCACTGTTTTCTTTAGAACTGAAAAATTAGAAATCTTAAATAAGGAGCTCAGAAGGCACATAGACTCTGTCCTGAAAGATGGTTTCTAACTTCAGACAAATGCAATCTGGGTCCCATCCGTGCTGTTTGACAAAATTGCATTTACTATGTTTCCTATCATCTTTTGGTCCAAAATGCAATGGGCACATGTGAGTCCATACATCACTTGACTTCCGGCAGTACCGACATGTTGGTCACACCCTCATAGAAACTCTCAGGCCACAGCTCCTGCCAGTTCTTTTCAGTCCTTTGGAAAGTGAATTATTCTAAATTCACCTTACATTGGCATGTCCCAGAGTCCGACTTTCTGCACCTTATTCTCTTCAGGATCTGTAATTTCTCCCGTATGGATAGACATGCCTGCACCTTCAACTCAGCAGTCTTGTACTTTCCTAAATGATATCTTCACTTAAATTACCCACATCAATCTCCATTTTATGTGTCTAAGACTAAACTCTCCAGCTGGCTCCTCCTCTTTTATTGAGTATGTTGAGGAAAGGTACCATCATTCTCCACCCACACAGCAAGGCTGGAAACCTAGAAATCAATCTAGACTCTTGCCTCCCCTTCACCTGCATACTCTTCTCTGCTATCCAGTCCAGTCAGTGATAACTTCTCTTCATCTTTAAAAGCCAAACCTCCTCCTCTCTTGTCAGTGTACAGTTTTATATTATAAACTGCATAGATGAATGCAAAAGATTCTAATTCATCTTCTAAAAATCTAGTCTGGTGTTTCTTAATCCGTATCCTTTGGTTCAGAGGACATCATCATCACTATCCAGAAAATTATTAAAGCTCCAAGTTTCAGGCACTGTATCACAACCCTCCTCATCAACACATACACAAGTGGCAAACTTTAGTTTGCATTAAAAGCTCTCCCAGTGATTCTAGAACCACTGATCCAGTCTTAACGTTTCTTGTCCATGCTCCAAACTTACGTCCAAAAATTTATGTCTCTAAAACTGATATTTCATGCAGTTTCTTGATGTTTAACTTTTATTTTTTAAACATGAGTGGCTTATGCTTAAGGGTTAAGTCCTTAAAAGGATATATAAAATGCTTCACCTTTCATATAAGAAAGCTGCTTTTTCTACTGTAACTTAAATGTACTCAATTACAAAGTGTATTTAATATTTCAATACCTAAGAAAATAGGCAGAGTGATAATTATCCATCACCTAACAGAAGTCCTATAAGCAGGAGAGGGCAGAGGCCTAATAAAGAGATAGATGCCACAATTCCCCAGGGCAACTCAACCTTTGTATGATGAGCCACTGCCATGTGTCCTTTTTTCCAATGTCCTGAATAACAACAGGAAGCTATCAAATTGAACATTTTTTAAAATCCAGTGAGGACAGATACAATGGAGAAGCAAGAATAGACTCTTCTAAGATTAGATCTCAAATCACTTAGCCAAAAAGAAGAAAACGTAGAATTAACAAATTTGAAATCTACAGAGCTAGACTATGATCAGGAAAAAAGAGATTATTTTGTATCTTCCTTAAGACACATCAGGTTCAGTGAATTCTCTTAAGGAGGTTATCTCAGACTTCCTGGGAGGCAAGAATGTGCAGGGATTATGAGCACCGACTCTGTAAAATAAAGCAACGTTTCTCAAACTTCAGTTCTACCTAAATTGCCTGGGATCTTTCAAAAACACAGATACTGATGTTTAAGTGTGAATGGAGCTAAGGTTGGGTCTCTAATAAGCTCCCAGACAATGCCAGTGCTCTACTGCACAGAACGTGAGGGGCCTCGGTTCTCCAACTCACTTCCTAGTACATTTCAGAAAAGCTGCCCCAGTGCTCCAAAGCCTGGGATCCCTCCCTCAGAAAGCAAGGCATCAACTGCAAAGGGCTGCAGCGGACAATCAAGGTGATTGCGCACCGAGTGCGCTTAGCCGTGGCTTAGCATATAGTGGAGCGCTCATGGCAATAGATGATGGCAAGAAGAGGTTAAATACAAAAGAAAACATGTTTGGCAGCTTTTACCTTAAACTGACTACCTCACCCCATTGAGATACTAATGTGGATATCGCACCAAGACAGAAAACTGATACATTCATGATTCTATTTAATTCTTCCAGAGAATGACTGCTCTTTCTTTCCTCTCATGTAATTATTTAAAAAAAAAATCAGGCCCTATTTGGCTCAGAGTAGTTTTTCAGTGGTTAGAATGACTTTTCCACTTAATTTCTTTTCCTGGCATTGTATGTGACCAGTGAGACATTTCCTTTGACCAGGTGCAACAGCTGGTCATGAAGAGAACAAAACCAAAATGTTCATATTTTTTGGCCCCAGTCACAACTTTCAGGACCTTATTATAGTTAACATAATTTGGCTGCAGAGCTACAAATATATTTAAAATTAACATTAACTAATTTTTGTTGTGATTGCTGCATTAATATCCTCAGTCTATTTTCACTGTCTATATCTTTTAAAATTCCATTTATGTACTAAACCAGTGCCAAGAAGATATGATAGAAGTACAATGACCAAAGCAGCAAGGATAAGAGGAATATATGCCCAAGTATTTTTGAGGTCATTACATATTAATTTATTTTTCGGTGATGTGTTATATCTCCATTACGTGACTGACTGTATAAGGAAATTTCTAACAATAGTCTCAGACAGGAATTGAGTGATAAGTACCCCAAAGCATAATTGCAAACTTGCACTTTCTAGAAATACTAAAAATGTGTCATTTCCACCAACTTGAATGTCCCTCAACCTTCCACTGCTATTTTGTGAAAATGCACAATATAGTGATGAAAAGAGGCTTGGTCTCCACTTTCTCTCCTCCCAAAGGCCCTTTTAGTCTGACAAAGGGAGGCAGGGAGGGCGCAGGTGTGTTTGAGCAGAGCTACATGGGTATCATGGTCCAGGCTGTGTTGTACACAGTGTGTGGAGCAAAGGCAGAGCCAGCTGGCTCGGGGAAGAGATACCTTTCCCTAATTCTACCAGAGACCCTGGGTGGGGGCGCTACAAGTCTGGGCCTGATTTCCACCTCCAGCACCTGCAAATCCCTGCATATCTTAGTCTCTTTGATCCTGCATTTTGATATGTAAAATGGAGGAGCCCTGTCACAGAGTGATCCAGAGGGAGATTACTGTAGCTGTAAATCAGTGTTATCTACTCACAACATGGATGGTGGGCCACCTCCAGTCCACCAGCTCTGTCACTTATCCACAAAAGAATAAATGTGAGCAGAAACTGAGCAAATGCTAGAAATTTTACAACAACCTGGTGGAGCAATGTTTTGACCACCAAACCTAGATTTATAGGTCTTTGTTTTGGGGTTTTTTTTTCTAGTTATATATATATACTTTTTTTTTTACATAGCATATTATATATTATTTTATGACAGTATCAGGAGATGGATAGTGGACCTACAAAAAAGCCCTCTGCTAGTAGAGTGTGAAAGGCACTTAGTATTTCCTCAGGCACAAAGGAGAGCATACAAGGAAGCAGAGCCTGGACAATAATGAATATCTTAACCCCAGATCTACTCATGATTCCCAGGCCTTCTCAACAACTTTAAGAGTAAAGAAAAAAGAAAAACTGTTGTTGAGCCTGCAACTTCTCAGAGGTCCCTATGGGAAAGATCATCTGCATTGCTGCCTCCATTCCATGTCAGCCCAGGAAAACTCCCAGAAACACAGGTCATCAGG